TTTGCAAAAATTTTTGGCCAACAAGTATTCATCAATGATTCAAGAGAGTTTTTGGACACAATATAATATATATGTCTAATGGCCTAATCAACATTTGTCAGGGATCAAAATTTTCACAAATGAACTTAAATAGAATTGGAATTATGAACAAAAAGATATCACTAGGCTGGGTCTAATCAGTGTTGGGCACAGATACTTTTAAAAGTATCTAGATACAGATTGTTTTCGATTTTTTCGAAATGTATCTAAATACAGATACAAGAAAACAGATACTTTTTGAAGCTTTGGCGAATAAAATAACTGAAAACATGTTTATGTACTTTTTTTATGTATTGTTTAATGAATTTTTTAAAATTAACAACATTTCGAACGTATTGTCACCTAAATTATTTCTTCTTGGTGTCAGAATTTGGTTTCCGGTACTAAACACCCGTTCCATAGCTGTAGAAGAAGGGATTGTGGTATTAAATTTAAAACATAAACATTTTACTGTAGCATAGTTATTCAAGACTCAAAAATCTTTTCTTTTTTCCTGCAAATAGGCCATCGCTTCGCTGTTTGATGTGTCGCAAATTGTGCAATATTTATTACGTACCTACGCTTAAAAAGAATATTTTTGTTTTTGTTTTTATTCCCATACTACACTGTCCAAATTGTGTTTGAGTAGATCTAATAATCATCTCCAGCATTAAAATTAATATTTCAAAAGAATACGGGAAATGATTATTCTGTGCTGAGGGTCTGTTGTCGGCAACCTGTCATAAATTATTATTCTTCAATATCGGCTTACGATGTTTTTATGACCATGTCCGGTAATCGTCTATCCCGGTGCGAAAGATATATACATTTTAGGAAGAATTCTGGTTCCGTTTAAAGCAAAATAAGTACAATTTTTTAAAAAGGTATTTAAACCCCTTATAGGATCAAAAGCTGCCTGGCAGGCCGGAATCACTAGAGTGCAACTTTAAATTTTCAGATTTTTGTTGAAACTCATTTTATTTTAATCTCGTTTCACGATTTCTGAGAATATATCACGATAAATTATTCTACCGAGGGTTGTAAAAATATTAATTTTATTGCCCAAGATAATTACACTTAAACATAATCGGCACATTCTAGGGCAAAACGGACCTGCCAAACCTGCCTCGCGTTAGGTCCAACAATGAAAAAGTGAAGAAATGACACATGTGGCAACAGGAAAAGATGCTATATTTGCCTGAAAGATAAAGGTATAAAACAGTAACAAATATGCGATTTATTCGAGAGAAATGTATGTATTGAACATTCGATTAGTCGATTACAGAACTAATTTGTGCTAATTGAAAAACATAATTATTATGTAACACGCAATTATTATTTTCTAAAAATAATAACATACCTTAAACAAATATTTTTACTATAAAAATTACTCTTTTTTAATAACACAAATACAACGAGCGGGCCTACCGGAGCCGGGTTGCTCAGGTACACAGATAAAATGCATTGCCCCGATAAGCCGAAAACGCAGTGAATAGTGAATTGTGGTTTATGGTTTTTAAAATACCATCTTACCATGGTTTAGATTTATTATCCCTCAGGATTATATCACATTTTTATTTACTACCATAAATAATCACATTTTTATTTACTACCAAAATGCCAGAGGACTGTGTTCGAAAACTCATTCATTCTATGTTAATGCTTGTGAAATGGACTTCGATATAATTGTCATAACTGAATCGTGGCTGAATGACTCTATTCAAAATTCTGAATTGTTTCCGTCTAACTATAACATCATTAGATCTGACAGAAAATTTAATGCTGTTAATAAAGTGATTGGTGGTGGTGTTATTGCAGCTATATCTAATAAAATAAATTGTCAAATTATCAACACTACAGTCATTGATGATTTGGTCCCATTAATCGATCTTTGCATTTGTAAATGTCAGTATAATACAGTTACTTTCTTGTTAGTAGTGTGTTACATACCTCCTAGTGTTTCGTCTGCAGATTATGAGATATTTTTGGAAGGTCTGGAAATTTTTCTTGTTGGTCAAACTGCACTACTGATTGGTGATTTCAACCTATCAATGTTCAACACTCCCTCTACTACCTGCTCTAAAGTAAACTCACTCCGTACATTTTGTGATTCGCTTCAACTTACTCAACATAATAGTATTGGTAATTTAAATAATAGACAGTTGGATCTTATTTTCTCCAACTTTCGGAAAATTCAAGTAAAACGTGAAGAAAATCCTTTTGTACGTGAAGATCCGCATCATCCGACACTCTCAATTACTGTGGAGTTTTTATTTCAACCTGAAACCGTGCCATTCCCAACTATATGTACCCCCTCTTATAACTTTCGCAAGGCCAATTTTATCACCTTGTATGAAGACCTTCTTGCTGCTGAGTGGACCTTCTTAGAACATTTTGTTGATGTCAATCAAGCCCTGGAAGCATTCTATGATCATTTACACTCCTTAATTAAAAAGTCTGTGCCACTGTATACTTCTCAGCGTAAACATTCCTATCCGCCTTGGTTTACACCATCGTTAATCGCTAGTCTAAAGACTAAGCTATTTTATAGAAAGAAATGGTTATCCTCCAAAAATGTTCTGTTTTTTAATGAATTTAAACGACTTCGAACACACTGTAAGATTCAAATTTCTCTTTGTTATCGGGCCTACATAGACAGGGTTGAACAATCAGTCTGCAATAACCCTAAAGAAATTTTCAAATATTTGCAAATGAAGCGTGGTACTACGCGAATACCGGGCAAGATGTATCAGGAAAATCTATCGTTTGAGACACCATATCAAATAGTAAATGGATTTGCACAGGTTTTCTCTGATATATATCTACCTAGTTCAAGTTATAACTTCAAAGATGATTCCTATAGCAATATTCCATCTCTCGCCTTAGTTCGAGTCCGCGAAGATGATATAATTAAAATTATGGCTTCTTTTCCCATTAAGCACACGGCTGGTGATGACCAGATACCTAGCTTTATGATTCATGATGCAAGATATGCGTTGGCTCAACCCCTGTCGGTGATCATTAATAAGGCTATTGAAAATTACACTTTTCCGAACAAATGGAAGCGAGCACGAATTGTGCCTGTGCACAAGAAGGATGATATCTCGGATCTAAAGAACTATCGACCGATAGCAATTATTTCTAACTTTGCAAAGATATTTGAGCAGGTGATTTATAAATCCATCATGAATAATGTTCGGCCCTATATATCTCAAAATCAGCATGGTTTCTTGCCTGGAAAATCTACAACCACCAATTTAATAACCATTACCCAGTTTATCTGTGAGCATCTTGACGCTAACAGTCAGGTAGATGTTGTATACACAGACTTCTCCAGTGCATTCGACACTGTGGATCATGGAATTCTGCTTCGCAAACTAAGTTCGTTTGGACTTACAAGGTCATTTATTTCTCTCATTGAATCTTACCTTTCAGATAGAGTAAACTATGTAACCTACAATGGATCTAAATCAAAAGATTATACGCCAACATCAGGTGTTCCGCAAGGATCCAATCTTGGACCTTTGTTTTTTGTCCTATTCATCAACGACCTCTTAGAGTTACTTAAGTGCCCTACACTTGCGTACGCTGATGATCTAAAAATATTTGCTTCTATTTCCTCTGTTGGTGATGTAAGATTTCTCCAGGATAATTTAAATATCATTTCACAATGGTCGTTCTCCAATCGTATGAAACTGAACATCGATAAATGTCAGTTTCTTAATTTTTCTCGTCAACTTACTCCAATGTCCTCCTCCTACTACATAAATGATCAGCCACTAGTTCAAGTTAACACAATGAAAGACCTTGGAGTGTATTTTGATTCAAAACTTACGTTTATCGACCATATTCGAGCCATATCTGCGTCGGCATCTAAATCTCTCGGATTTATAATGCGAACCTCCACCCTCTTTAAAAGTTTACCTCTGCTAAAGTCTTTGTATTTTTCTTTTGTGTTAAGCAAGCTAGAATATGCATGTGTTGTATGGTCGCCAATTTATGTGTGTTATCAACTGGCTATTGAAAAAATCCAACGACGCTTTCTCAAATTTATGTCCTTTAAGACTTATGGAGCTTACCCACCCAGAAATGTGGACTATGACTTTTTGTTGTCCACTCATAATATATCTTCATTAGTTGAACGTAGGAAAATACATGGTGCCCACTTTATCTGGAAGCTGCTTCACAATTTTGTAGATTGTCCCGAAATTCTATCACATATAAATCTACATGTGCCAAGGCTTAATGTAAGACATGCATCAACTTTCAATTTTCCAACACCGAGAACCAACGTGCTAAAGAAATCGCCTATGGTAATAATGTGCCGTGATGCTGAGGTCTTTTATAATGACATTTTTAGTGAAAAATTATAGGTGTAAGGTCAAATGTATTTATGTTGGTATTTCACTCTTTTATCTAGAGTTTTTCTTGTTAGTTATAGGTATATTAATTTCAAAGTTTTAATTGGTAATTTTATGTTTGTATGTATATATTGTTTGTGTGTATTAGCGTGTTCATTGTATTCTATATGTTGTCCTCTAAGTGGGTTGTAACCTGTTGGGCAATAAAGGTTTATTATTATTATTATTATATTTAAAGATGTATAAGTATTGAAGGCTACAATGTAGGAAATGATGGTATTTAAAATATGAAAATTTCCGTGACAGAACACTATTAGTGGACCTCTTACCTCTATTTTTGTTTATGTGACCAAAATCACCAATATGAAGTATCAAAAATTACTACTAGTATAACTCAACTAATAACTACTGAAAAAAAAGTGAAATAAAAAAATGTATCTGTATCTGCACCATTAATTTTGTATCTAGATACAGATATTTTGTGCTTAAATTGTATGTAAAAATGTATCTAGATACTGTCTTTAGATACAAGTATCTAGATACTGCCCAACACTGGGTCTAATATACCTGTGTCTTCTTATATTAAGGGTAATTACGAAATTTATAACATACCAGTTTCAGGTAGAGTAGTTAGTCCAGAAGCTTTTGAAACACTTGATGATTTTAAAATAGCATGCATGGTGCACGATGCTGCCCACTGAAAAATCGAAAAGGAATCGTGAAACTTGTGATTTTTCAAAAAATGATATGTAAACATATTGTTGTTTTCTTTTACCCTAAAATTGATAGCATCCCTACCAGCCGCAAAAACAGTTCCAATTGGGGAGAAAAGCTTTATTGATGAAATAAAGATTGCTGCTTTTTCATTATTATGCTTCAAATAAAAGTACCATCTACTCTTTTTTAGAATATGTGTGTTAATCTTTATGTAGAATCATTTATTTGTTATTTTTCAAAGAATAAGCGTTATTGAAACAACGAAAACTGTCTATTATTATTATTATTATTTATTATTTGTTGTAATTTGTTTTTTTCTTAGAATTTTATGGCAATTTTTACTAAGAATAATATATAGGTCTTTGTTAATTTTCCAATAAAAACATTTATTAAAAATATTGTTTCCTTATCTATTGGTACAATTAATTACTCGTGTATACTTATCCAACAAGTATGAAATCGACTAATGTACTATTTTATTAAAAAAAAAAACAAATGGACAAAATGCAGTGACAAGAACATCTTATTCCTTTAAACTAATGCCAGCTTTCTGAAATCCATCTAATATGTTGGCTTTAGCTGAACGCTTGAGACACAATTAATTGTCATAATTAATTCAGCAATATTGTAAATTATAATTGTTTCCCTGGATTGGATTAATAAAATAGACACTAAGACACTATAAACTGAATGAACAAAAATTGCATAAATTTAAAGGAAAAGACAGTCAGTATAAAGAATCGCAGATATTTACAATTTCTGAGGAAAAGCTACTTGTTAAATATTACTGTCATGTAGTAAAATGCATTACGGTCTGACTAGAAGGCAAGCAATGGATTTGCAAAAGTGAATTCAAAGAAGTTTCCTGAAAGCTGAGCTGAGTTGAGTGGTTTCCTTTCCAAAAATCCAGAAATAAGTCTAAAAACACCCGAAGCCACCAGCTTATTTCACATCGGGTGCAGAACTGTACAAGTATGTCCAAAAGTGATAGTCAGTAAAAAATAAATGCAGGTCGTACTAGACACATCAGCATATAGAGAAACTACTGTAACACTTTGTTTCGCCGTGAATGCGATTGGAATTGTAATATCTCCTTTCTTTATATTTCCAAAGGTTAGGTATTAAGAGTATTTCATATCTGAAGGAACGGAAAGGTTCTCTGGAGACACTTTTGCAAGTGACCACAAAAAGTTTTGTGAAATTTCTTGGACATTTTGCAAAATATTCTCATCTCTCTGAGAACAATCACATACTCTTAATACTAGATACTCATAAGAATCATGTAAGCATTGATGTGATTCGTTTTTCCACAAATAATGGGATCATGTTGTTGACCCTTCCGCCACACTGCAATAATAAATCCCTTAATGTTGCAGTTTATTCCTCCTTTAAATCTCGATACAACACAACTATTAACAATCCAGGCAAAACAATTACAACTTACAATATTCCAGAATTCATTATGACAATTAATTATGTCTCAAGCGTTTAGCTAAAGCAACATATTAGATGGATTTCAGAAAGCTGGCATTAATAATCCGCTTAATCTAGAAGTTTTTAGTGACGACGATTTTTTGTGTTCTGCTGTCACGGATAGAGTTTTGCCTCAAGCCCACCAATGCGTTTAGAAAGTCAGCTTGTGTTCTCCTCCGAACTCCAGGAATCGTCTCACTTTAACAAAACACTGCAATCGCGACTATTTCTCTGTAGGAGTCTGAAAATAATCACAATATCTTCAATTATGGTTATGATTCTGAGTTGAAAAAGCATCGAGAATATCCTGACGAACTCGGTACTTAATGGCATTTAAAAAATTATTTTCGAAAACTCCTGGTCGTAGTGCGCGATCCCGTCAAACGAGCCATCTTCGACTATACCCAACACAATACGTATCCAAGAAACCCGAAATGAGGCCCTTCCGCAGCTTGTCTTCCCCAACACTTCCATTGGCAGCATCGCCATCGTTGCACGCCCTGGGGGGCCGTCAAGCTAGGTATTTACTCGCGCTACCTCACTCAGAAATCACTGAACAGCTCAAATTAAATTATTTTATCCAGTGTTATTGTAGAACAATTTAAACACAATAAATGCACAAATTGCACAAAATATTTTATAAGGTTATTGTCGTGCCCAAATAGTTTTGACCGCGGCCGAGCTTTTGGACACTAACAAAATTATTTATTTGGGTGTAGGCCCATTTCCTTGGAAATGGAAGAGCTAAACTGCATGTAGGGGAAGAGGTAATAATTAAACATACATAACATTTTTATACGTATATTAAAAGAAAGCATAATAAGCATGTCAAAAGAATAATCGAGTAAATGTGTAAATAATCAACAGAAAAATAAAACATAAAATAAATTCACACACATAACACGAAAAAAGCAAAACAACATGCAAAACATTCTTCTAAGGCGCTACGCAATTATATTCCACTAATAAAACTCTTAAAATCTATGAATATAACCCACATTTTTAATTAATAAACTTAATCCTAGAAAAATCAGCATGCAAAACATAAAATAAAAAAACTACTAACTACTAAATGGAATCATTACTTAATTATTTAAATAAATTGCGATTGGGCATTTATATATATTAATTAAATCATGAGAACAACTAAAATAACGGGTAAAAATCATGCACTTAAATCTACGACAACTTATGAATATAAACATGTAAAAAGAGAGATAAATGAATTTTCACATACATCGATTAGCTAAATATGCCGAGCACAACAATCGTTCACGAGAAAAATTGATGGTTACAGGACAGGTAGATACATGTAAAAATAAACAGTCATAATTTATACATGCAGTTAAACATTGGGACGTTAGTATCATAAATGCGCTAAAATACAATGAGACGATTAAAATAAAGTATAATGTGAGAAATATAGCAATATAACATATACTATAGCAAAATAATCAGAGAACGGAGTCATATTTAAACGGCAAAAATTCAATATAAAATAATCAACAGCAAGAAAATTAGATTAAAAGGTTTCGATTCGGGAACTTCCCAAAAAACGCACATAAAATATTCATGTCGCAAGCAAAGAATTAAATCGGCAAATTTAAAGAGATATTGGAATTATTATTATAAAAACAAATGGTAAAAATCAGAAAAATCCTCTCCAAAAAACGCATATAAAATATTTATGTCGCAAGCAAAAGAGTTAATTTGGCAATTTACAGAAATTTGGAATAATTATCATAAAAGCAAACGGTAATTTATCGAAAAATCCTCCCCAATAATCAAGAACCGACGCAAGGCTAGACGTGCCACCTGCAAACGGGAACATATGGAAGCACTAAAGATTACTTTCGGTGCCGGCGCTAACTGTTCACACCCAACGAAACGGAGAAAACGCATAAATTAAACGCTACACATGTACGATTCGAACTCGAGAACACATGACGAAAAAACGGAAAGCAAGATAAACTAAGAATGACTAAAAGGTAGACTTACACAGCTGCAGCATTGAGAATTTTTCTATCTTCCTCTCGGGCTCAGCAAATTCTTCTAAGTTCGGATTTCTTCAAAATTCAGCAAAAATTAATAAAAATCTCGACCAATGATTCGGCAGAGCCTTCGGCTACAACTGGAAACTTCTACTCTAACTGAATTAAACCGTTTTCGGCGCTACTGCTTATATAGGGATTTTTACTCATTATTCTTGTCTCTCGTGACTTTAGTGGACTATATTTCTTCATGATTAGTGTATTACTCGGTACGGGATTTTAGGTTTTATTTCGTTGTGTTATAGGGTTTAGCTTTTAATTATGGTTCCGCGACTGACGTTTTTTATTGGTTAGTGTGTCGTATATTTTCGGGTTTTTTCAACTTGCGTCATGCTTCTCATGTCGTCATCGCTACATGTGGTTAGCTTGTTGTAGCTATTTTTAAAAAGGGCGTTTTTTCTGAGGTTGTTTATGTGTCTGGGTTTCGTTTGCAGCTGTTTTAGTTTGGATACAATTTTATATGAAAGTAATTGCGATTGGCGATGTTTCTGGCGTATCATTTTGTACACGTTATTTGCAATGTCTGGCAAGCGTAATGTTATTCGCAATTTGCGAATACGCGAATTTTGTTTCTGCATTTGGGGATTGATAGTTGATTTTGTTTATCTATTTGACTGGTACTATATGCCGATTAGAACATGCGTGTTAATTAATTAAGATTTGCAAATTTTCTAGTTATGTTTTGAGGGTTTGTTATTAGTCTTTTTAGTTACAATTTTCTCGTGAACGAATTTAGTGACGGCTCGTCACATTATGTTACTAGTGCCGATAGATTTTAGTGAGTTTTTATTACTAAAGTCCCATTAAAATGTTGATCCTATCATGTGACGATAAGATTTATTTAATCAACAGCTGGTGGTTTTCAAAAGAACCTTTTAGTAAACCATTTAGATAGCGACAAATAACAAAACTTAACACTAGGTAACAAATGAAGTAATGAAATATTGTACAAATGTAGAGAAATATTACAATATATACAAGAATTGCTCAAAAAGGCCGCCTTCCGCTGCTGTACATACATCGATCTTCAAAACTCCTACGTGTGTTGATCAGCATTTGAGTTGAAATCTGAAAGCAATATTGTCAGATTACCTGTATCGGCGATTCTCTGTTTGCATAGCTGGTATACGAATACAGACGTGCATGAAGAAATCCCCAAATAAAAAATCAGAGGGACTTAAATCTGATGTACGCGAAAGCCAATCAATGTGTCGATCCAGACTTTCCAGTCCGACGTTGTGGAAATACTGGTTCAAATAAACAACATTTGTGCGAGGTGTATGGCTGGTGACTCCGTCCTGCATGTCAAAGACCTGCCGCCGATGGCGCATCCTTCGCATCCCAGGAAATATTTGCTGAGCTAGCATATTGTCGTCCAATAACATGAGGCCCTAGAAGCCCCGGTCACACACTAACAGTTGCATACCAGTAATCCATCGTTCTGACGATTAGAACCTCCCGTAAAACTAAATTTGTCAGTGAAACAAAGTTTCTAATCCCTATGTCTCAAGTTAATTGTCCTATTTTGAAAAAAGTCTCAAATTAAGTGTTTTGTCTCAAAATTCCGATCTTTAAAAGATTCGACTTTTTTATTATGTAATTAAGGAAAAATTTATTTTTTATAGAAGAATTATTATTAATTAATTATTATTATCAGCGTGCGAATTCTATGCAACATGCAAACTGCATGCATACTTAGCATATTTGCCATTCTTTCTACTTTTCGCCTATTTCTAAAAAACGCACATATTTCCATATTTTCATGGAACAATAATACAATATAGAAATACCTTCTGTAGATTCTGTAAATTGGTTATACTTGCTTAGTATGAGTCAAGATTAATATTTTTATCCAAATGGCAAAAGTGGTATGTAGGCGGCAAATGTAAATGCAGCGGACGGAGAAAATATTTTAATAATAATAATGATATTTATTCATTCTAACAGGAAAACCCAGTTTCAAGATTCCAGACTAAAATAAGACACATTTTAATCCCTACATGTAAACTGCAGCGGTATGAAAGAGTACCTATACCCAGTACTGTACTCGATGCGTTTAAAGATTTATACTAAAATCACTTTAATAATATTTTACAAGTTTAGTCAAGGAACGTAACCCGTAAAACTCTAAAACCATAAATTATACAGGTACGTCCACCTGAGACCGTCTGCTTGGGGCAACACAGGACCGTATTTGCAACGAACGGAAATTCTTTAGGCACGCGACACGGCTTCCAAGTTTACAAGGACCCTACTGCGAATGCCCACTCGGCATTGTCAACCAAATAATTCTAATTATGTCATTAAATTTTATTAGCATGCAATTAAAGTGATTTTAATACACAGTATGCGTCATTTTTTCTAAAAATATTATGTTGTAGATTGAGTTAGTAATAATCTTGCAAAAGTTTTTTGTTAGGACGTCAACGTCCAGAATAATTTTATTTGTATTAATGATTTTCGAGTAAACCCCAATCATTACAGGTAAACGTGTGCACCTACTTAGGGCTGGTATCTGATCTTATTATGATCCGTTGCAGTTTACAAGTTAAAAAAATTTACAACAAGGGCTGGGGAAAATGTTACACATAATACTTAGAACTTAGGAACATGTTACATTGTTTCAAAGTTCCCCGAACAGTCTGATTATAGCAGTCACAGTAGGTTAACTAGCACACTTAGATCAGAGTATTACAGGTTACTTATCAGATGATGCAAGGCTAAATGACTTGTAGCCATAGAAATAATATTATATGGAAGTAACTTAGAGAGAGACGCGCGTTGTCAACACAGTGGGACAGAGATAGGGCTCTCTGGGTGGCAAAACATTGACGCGAAACTGCAGAGCACTGTGTTTCTGGAGGTTTCATTCGTGCTGTCGCATGGTGTTTGAAGGTGTATTTTTGCAAATTTACGTTTTTTAGGCCCAAGTTACCTTATTTAAATGTCTACAGTCTTCTTAAATTGTATTTTATTGGACTATTTGTTAAACATCGTGAAATCGTGTTGTGCGTATAATTGAATAGAACGTGCAAATAAAGCAATCCTGTTTCATTTCATACGTAATAATCACATACACAGACGAACGATTTCGTAAATAATTTAAAAACATTGTTAGATTCCCTAAACATTCCGAGTTACGAAAAAACGGATTATTGCTACAAAAAGAGGGAATTTTATATTTATTGATTATTGTTTTAGTTATTTGTACGTGGATTTAGAAAATAGATTTTAGTAGAAAATTCCACACAATTTAATATGTTTAATTTAATTAGGCACCCTGTCACTTTTATCGAAAGTTTAATTACTTTTATTCTAAAAATTTCAGAATTACCGATGAACATACATTACAAGATTAGTTAACTTGTAGAAGATTATTGTATTAACTGAATTCGTAATATATTGTAGATTTTCTATACATTTCATTTTATTAAAAAACTATCTCCACCACTTAACATGATTTTTGTTGTTTCACATTACACATAATTTCAATGTAAGCTGTAAAAATATAGTTTTCATTAACAGACGTTTGTTATAATTGATTGTTTGAACAAATTCGTAAGAAAACGTATTAATTCCCGTTCAAATGAAGCGTTTCTTGCCACCCAGCACGTGATACGTGGTCAGCCGTCCTTTCCCTACTGATGCATAACCGCTATAGCTATTTCTTTCTTATGTTGATTACACTCGCTCGCGTTTGGAAACGTATACAAGGCTCCATCCACTCCTTTATTAGATCAATGCTTGTAGCACTGCCTCCTCTACTTAACAAGCCGTGTTGTGCGAAATACGGCAACACTGTGCGGCGGCTGGTCAACCTGTTCAACCTGTTACATCTGTGCCGGTGTGTAGCAGTGCAAAAGTGTTTATCTGGTTTTATTTATTATCAAATTTTAACTAGTAGTGAACTTTTGGAATTAACTTGTGAAAATATTAATTTTTAGGAATAACGGAAATTTCAAACGGTAAAGTGTAGCGTAAAGTAATTTGCTAATTGTTCAAAATAACCTCAATTTTAGATGCCGCGTAAATGTTGTGTTCCTGGTTGTAATTCCAATTACGACAGTGAAATAAAAAAGGGAGGTCCAGTTGTATCAGCCTTTAGATTTCCAAAAGATGAAGAGAGAAAAAAGTTGTGGCTTTTAGCTATTCCCCGCAAAGATTTTTCACCCACTGCAAATAGTGTTGTCTGCATGAAACACTTTTCTGAAGACGATATAATTCGCTATGACCTGTACAAAACAAAGGACGGAACTACACAACAATTGCTATTAATGTGCCCCAAGTTAAAAGAAGATGCACTCCCAAGAATTTTTCCAAATCTGCCGAAGTATCTGACTAAAGAAAAGAGTGTTGTCAGGAACGACCCTCAAGAAAGAAAAAAAAAAGTTTTCAACAGAACCGCCGCAGCAATTGACAACTTTTTAAAAGCAGACATTATTCAAAGTTTTGAAAATGTAAAAAATGACTTTGCTTCGAAAGTTGAAAGTGTTTCTAAGTGGCATGTGATAATGAAGAACAGTGAATTATTTTTTTATACTTTAAGTGTTGATTATGACAATGGAAGTGATGAAGGTGAACATCTTTATATAGTTAATAGCGTTAAATTGGACCAGAATATGAGATTGAAAGTGGTGATAAAAGGTAACGAATTGTCATCTCATGAATTAAAGTGGATTCTTCCATATGATTTAAAACTAAGTCGATGGTCCCAATTGAAAAATATATTAAGCAGGTACCATAAGTTTGAAGAAATTAATTGTAAATCTGATCAGTCTCAGTTTGAATTATACTTACAGAAATGTAGGAACTATCTAGAGAAATGTTGCGAAATGGCAGAAATTCATGATTATGAACACAAAAGACAACTAGAGATTGTTTTTGATCAAGTGTCACAATTAACATTAAAAAAGCGTAGATATTCACCAGCCACAATCTTGTTTTCGTTTATTATGTTTTCATATTCTCCTTCGGCCTATAAGTTTTTGCGAAATTATTTGCTGCTACCCCACAAACGCTATTTGCAAATGTTATCGTCATCATTTAACATTAGTCCTGATAACGAAAGCAATAAAACAAAATATTACTTTTCCTGTGCGGCTTTAGCTCGGCTCGGCATCGACGTATGCGGCCGGCCTCCGTATCGGTTCCTAGGCGCTGTTGCCAGTTCGTACAGCACGGCTTGTTAGTAAAGGAGGCAGTACTTGTAGTCGTCCTAGCTCATGGGGATGGGACGAGGTTAGACAATAATGACAAACGAATTTTTTTGCTGTAATTCTAGAATCTCAAAAGTTCTTTTCTTTAGCTAATCAGTGGTTTTAATACCCGTAACGATAGAAGTCTTGCCTGAATGCGGATCATTTTCGGATCAGTGGTGGGTATAAAATAATAATAGTTTATTAACCACGCAAACAACAAATATTTAGAAAAGATATATACAATATACTTCCAGAAATTAAAAAAAAAAATGGATGAACAAATTTAAAAATCTAATGACACGTTTGAAGCAATAATTATATTTTTACAACAATGCAATTTGTAGCAATTTTTGAAAACTGCAAAACTCAATACTACCACAGATGTTCTTACAATTTTTTAGCGAATTAATAAGCGTAGAATTCATGTGTTGATTTATAATACAAGGTGACATGCAAAAGATGCAATGATTTGGTCAGCGAGGTTATTTAGCACTGAAAAGTAAGTTAATTCGCAGTCAAAAAATCTAGGACACAATTTGTCCGTGAACACTTTCAAAATTCAAATTTTGATGTCTACACCTCCTCTGCGTTATCATGTGCATGGAATATCTCTCTTTAGAAGACTCTCTAGGGTACTTGCTTAGACTGTTGAATTTTCTTTTTAGCCAATAGTAGACTATAAAATGTTACTTCTGGACCAGGGCATTTGGCGTGTTACAAAACAGGACAGAGTCCTACAAATTTAGCTGTTTTCTCAAAAGTATACAACCAAAAAAGGCAAAAAACCTCTCAAAAAGCATTAATTTTTATCCACCCCAAAAGTACCCAAATATCTGTAGACCACCAAAAATTGGGCACACGAAAAAACAAGGTAAAATTCTACAAAAAACTTAGAAAATGCCTTGTTTTTAAACACCCCAAAATGGCTTTCTATTTCTGGACCAGGTCATTTGGCGTCTTAAAAATCACGGCAGAATCCTACAAATTTAGCTGTTTGCCCAAAAGCAAACAACCGAAAAAGGGCTAAAACCTCTCCAAAAGCATTAATTTTTATGCATCCCAAAAGTAGTCAAATATCTGTAGATGGCTTTTTATTTCTGGACCAAACCACTTGGCGCATGCAAAAAAAAAAAGGGAAAAACAACACCAAATCAAGGAGAGTTGGTACCGGGACATTTGGCGTTTTAAAAACTGGGGAGAATCTTACAAATTCCGCTGTTTCCTCAAAAGTAAACAATCGAAAAAGACCTAAAATCATCAATTTTTCTGCGCCCCAAAAATCTATAGACCATCAGAAATCGGACACATGATAAAACCATTTAAAACCTTACAAAATCCGTTGTTTTTAGACATCCCAAAATAGCTTTTTATTTCTGGACCAAGCCAATTGGCACATGCACAAATCATTGAAAAAGAGACAAAAAACTTATTCAAATTTATGAGGTTTTCGAACCCTCCAAATGGATTTTTATTCCTGGATCAGGACGTTAGAGCACTTACAAAATTTACCCCAAAATGGCTTTTCATTCATGGATCAGGATAATAACTGGTAAAATAAAATAAAAAATTGAACAGGTCTAAAATTGGAATAAAAAATATTGTTAAACAAAAATTAAAGAAATTAAAACTATATATCTCTGACTATATTACCAAGTTTGTCATCTAATAAGATTTGGTAAAATCTCTTAACGTCTGTAACATATTCTGGTTTCCCTAAATTTATCTCTACCAAATGTGCCCCATAAAATAATATACGTTAATCCCGATTCATTGATGAATATTGCTTATTTTCCATACTTTGTCTTCTTCGTTTACATGGATTGCTTTATCTGTTTTTTCATAATATCCTAGTTTAGACCAGCACAGTTAAGACACTTTTAAAAACCTAGTAATTTCTTCTTCTACAATCCGATCTATTTTTACAGCATTTCCTCTTTCACGACAGCTTATACCATTTATAGGTATGTATCTATCGAAGAGAATCATCGGCACGACCATCAATCCTGAATCCACAGGACAGGTCATTGTTGTTCGATATTACTGTAAGTCGATGGAAGACTCTCAAAACCGAGGAAAAAAATCAAAAAACTATCTATTAAACCCATTTCAGAGACCCCGAATATTGTGCATTTCACTTCCTGACCAAGGTGGTTTGGGTAACAAAAGAACCTTTAAAACCCATCAGATCGGCTTCCAGTTACTAAAAGTCCAATATTAAAAAAAAAAGGAGGCTTTTCATTTCTACTAAAACAATATAAACTTTGTAATTCATGTTTTATTATAACTATAACTATAGAAAATATATTTTCAAAACAAAACCAAAACCGAAATAAAACAGATTTAGGCTTGTTGCACACGAACGGTAGTTCCACCGGCCGGCAGATTTGCCGTGCCGGTAAAAAACCGGAGGGTGTTTGCACACGCTCGTCATCACAGTTGCATAGACTACACAACAGAAATAAACTGTGTACAGAACCGTAATAGTTCAGTTTGCAAACTAACAATTAGTCTTGCATCTCTGGCTGACCAGAAGAAAAAGGTCTGGTGGACATGTGGACGTCGATTTGCCGTAAAACGCAGACAAAGACAAAAGGGTCCCAACCTCGCAACTTCCAAACACACAAGTGTCGCATCGACACTGAGCCAGAGCGTACCTAATTCTGAAATATTGCAATAAGTGCCACCCCTGTTAAGTGCTAGTACGATCCTGACTAAAATTTTATAAAACAACAGGTATTTCAGCCGGACGTCTGCAAACCTCCATTGACTTGTATGCAATCTAATATTTTGCTCGGCGAAATGATCGGCCGGTTAGCTCGGTCGCCGGGATGTACGTCGGCGAAAATATAATATATCCGGCTGCCGGCAAAGATTTAACGGCGGAATTACCGTGATTTCTTCGTATGCAAAGTCCTGTTCTCACCAATGAAATATAATTTCATCCGGTTGTTCGACCGTCCGACAAATCTGCCGGCCGGTGGAACTACCGTTCGTGTGCAACAAGCCTTAGGTGATCGAAACTAAAATCAACTTGCCCCTAACCTTAAAAATACACTTTGAATTAAGTATTACTAAACTTAAAAATATACTGAATTAAAACTAAAAATTAGCCGCAATTACATTTTTTTCTCTGCTGTTACGAGACACGAATTGCTCTTTCGCAAAATAGATTAATGATTTTTTCACCCCTAGTATTAACAGCTATCTCAATGCCATTTTCTAGCGATGGCTCTGCCGGAATGTTGTGATCATCTAGAACAGCCCTAATATCCTCCTTTCGGAGGCACATCACAGATGCTTTCTTTTCAGAATCTACATGCATTCCCATAATAAGAGAAAGAGAAGGATCTGTAGGACGATCATTAAAATATTTCGCCATTGTGAAGACATTGAAGTAGTGATTTTCAAAAACTTGTTTTACTGCATCTTCTACAGCATGTGGATCACATTTTAATTCGATTATAATCCCAGATTTACCATTATACAGCATTATATCAATTTTGGTTCTATAATTTGGGATGATTATTTCATTTCCAAAGAGAAATCCGTTGTGAGTACATGTCAATGTAATTATACTCTGTAATGTTGCCTCATTTAGTGGATCGATAATTTTTGACTGTTGAAGTAGACGGGTGACAGTACTTTGAAAATTTGCTAATTCTTTATTGAACTCTGTTAATGAGCCATCTTTTTCACAGAGACTGACAAGTTCAGAAAATGATTTTGAACAATCCTCGGACAAATTTTCGTTAATACCATATTTCAATAAAAAAATATGTTTGTAGCTTCTTTGTAAATTCCTGAATTAACTCGCCGTTAGGTATTTGGAGTTTCGAATCAGTATATGTTAAGTATCCAAGAGATATAAAAAACCTAACAATAATGTCTTTTTTACAATCCAAATTCGAATGAACTAATATCCCATACAACGATTGCAGCTCACTTAATTCTAACGGTCCCAGCTCCAAATCTGGCATATCTATCGCACTTTGTAGTAGGCTAGTCAACAAGTTAGGCACGACATCCTGATTAAATAGGTTATACATCTTGTGGATGTAGCCAGATTGTTGCCAATAATTTTGCAAAGCATATTCTCCCAGTTGTAAATTTTTCAGAAAACGCACAACCGATTGAGGATTATATAGTCGTTGCTTGTCCCCATTGTAGTATCCATTATATTTGGCTTTCGCTTTTGTCCTCAACCCCTCCTCTACTTCAAACCGATCAAACAGCATATCGACTTCATCTTCAGAAAACCCATAGTAATCCTGGCACAGATTGGGGGTTCCGAATTGTAGTCGTTTCAAGTTACCCAATACGCTGGAAATCGTTATACCAGCAATATCTAAAATTCCTGTCATAAACACTCCTTGAAAGAGTTTAGAAACTCGTTTTAAAGCATCTCCAATAGCTCCAATGGCGAATGAAGCAACTTCCGTTAGGTCGTTCAACTTGGCATCTACCAGATTGTACAATGCATTTGAAACAATCGAGTCATACTCGTCAACAAGCAGGAAAACTTTTTTTTTATGAAACTTATTCAGATAAACTACCAAGTCTACCAACCCCGCCTGTACATCTTCTTCTGGAATTTCTTTGTAGGCACGTGCACTACACCATTGTCTGCAAACATCTTTTTCATCATCTTTCAACGGTGACACTGTGGATTGGTAAAGGTACTCGTGTTGCTGAAAAGCCTCACGTATAGCTCGTCTACACACATTCACTGCATCAGATTGATTTCTGATGGGACCAGAACATTGAAAATTTAGTGTGATAATCGGATATTGTCCGAAATGAGTTGTTACAAAGTTCTTATTCCGCTGGTCCATAACTTTTAACTTGAACCTTGCTGAATTGAACAGTTTATAGTTGACCTTTTCTTCCAAAACCGTTGTTATCTCTATTCCATTTTCATCTACTTCCAGTTCCAAGAATCGTTGGAGCATAGTTAAGTTTACAGTTTTTCCAAACCGACGCGGTGCTGTACAAAGTATCACAGGAATGTCCGATTTAACAATTGCAAGAATCAACCCACTTTTATCAACAAAGTTATCACAATTCAGAACATTTTCAAAATCCGGTGAAAGGGTACATTTTCTCTCGGTCGGATGGTCCCCCATGATAAACAAAGAAGAGTAACTACCTGCAACAATGATGAAAACCAAGTTTTAATGTTGGTCACAATAAATAGCAAAATACAAACAAATTGGAAGCATGATAGACAGGCCAGAGTGAATTTAACAATCGTTGCATTTTGAATTAACCCTTTAACTTATAATTTATCTGTAATAATTTGATAAGTTTGAGTAAGTATAATATGCAACTTTTACGGACATTGTGAGTCAATGGATTAATGGCAAAATTCAAAATAGAATTTTTTATGCGCAAAAAAAGCAGCCATTGTGCAATGTAGCAAGGTTTTGCTTTATCCAGTGGAATTGATTGTTTGGAAATTATAGGTGAATAAAACTGAACGAAACGATTGAAATGTGTATTGCAACTTCGTGGTACATCAACTGAACTTACAGTGTCAAGTGCGCACATGCGCAAGCTTATGTCGGTAATACAGTTAGCAAAAGGGTAGTTTTCTATAATATCAACACTCCCACTAGAAAACTACAACTATCAACAAAAATAATTTTAAATTTAAATAAAGTAAAATTAACGCTTCTTGAGTCCCATTTCCTTCAGGTGCTTTTCATGCAGTTCCAGAGGTAATGCTTTGGTCATCACATCAGCTGTCATTTCCTTCGAAGCAATGTGTTGAACTTGTATGGCCTTTTCTTGAATTTGCTCACGAAGGAAATGATGTCTCACATCTATGTGCTTTGTCCTTGCTCTGTATCCTCCCACTCGACTCAGATCCACTGCGCTTTTATTGTCACATTTCAGAATAGGTCCTTCGTCATCGACTTCAGGCATTAATTCATTTAGAAGGCCCTGTAACCAAATAGCTTCTTGCGCCGCTGCACTTAGAGCCATGTATTCTGCTTCAGTTGTGGATAAAGCAATGGTGGGTTGTTTCTTGCTATTCCATGATACAGGGGCCCCTTGGAATGTAAAGACATATCCTGTGGTTGACCGTCTCTCATCTTCATCACCTGCCCAGTCTGCGTCACAAAAACCTGCAAGTTTTCCATTCTCTGTCCTTGTAAAACAGAGTCTGAAGTCCTTTGTGCCCTGGATGTATCGAAGGACTCGTTTCACAGCTGACCAGTGAGCAGAGCCTGGATTATTGTTAAATCGGCTCAATAATGCTAGAGAATATGCCAGGTCTGGACGCGTACCCTGACATGCATACATCAATGACCCAACTGCCTCTTGATATGGTACATTCTCCATGTTTTGAACCTCGTTCGTTGATTTTGGGCACATTTCTTTTGTTAGCTTCTCGGATGGACTTAACGGAGTTTTAGTCGGATTGCAGTTTGCCATGTTGAATTTTGACAAAACCTCTTCTAAATATTTTGATTGGTCCAACCATAATTTGCCCTCTTTTCTGTCTCTTGTTACCCGAATTCCCAGGATATACTGTAATTCTCCCAAATCTTTCATTTTGAATCTGCTTTCCAATTCTTTCTTCAATTCATTTTTCATTTTTGAATCGTTGCCCAAAATGAGTAAATCATCTACATAGACTGCGACAATTACAATCTTATTATCCTTGCAAAGATAATATATGCACTCATCTCGTTTTGATTGATTTAGCCCAATTTCTATAAACGCTTGATGTAACTTCAAATTCCATTGTCTTCCAGCTTGCTTCAAACCATACATTGCCTTGTTTAATTTGCAAACTTTATTTTCTTGGCCTCTAACTTCAAATAATTCAGGCTGCTGAATAAAAATGTCATCGTTAAGATCTCCTTGCAAGAATGCAGTCACTGCGTCCATATGATCAATGTCAAAGTCATACTTGACTGCAAGGCCTAAGATCAATCTAATCGAATTGTATCGTACCACAGGTGAATAGGTTTCTTGATAATCTATCCCCTTACGTTGACAACAACCTTTCACTACAAGTCTGGCTTTAAATCGATCTATGTTCCCGTCTTGATCTAATTTTGTTTTAAATACCCATTTGCTGTCAAACACTTTAGCATTGGTTGGCAAATCTGTGAGAGTCCATGTTTTGTTTTCAATGAGTGCATCGTATTCAGCTTGCATTGCTTCAAGCCATCTTGTACACTCAGGACTCGAAACAGCTTCTTCAACATTTTTGGGCTCCCTCGTCAACGACTGAACATGGTAGCAAATATATTCAGAAAATTCCTTTGCTTTTCTTTCCCTACTTGATTTTCTTATAGCGGGTTCTTCTCTTTTGGTGTTTTCGACTTGCTCAACATCATCATTGGTTTCAATTTCATGGACATTACATTCAACCTGAATTTCTTCAATTTCTTGTTCATCAATTTCTTCTGCTTGAGTTTCTTCGATCTCACACTCTTCACTTTCTTCAGTATGATCATGGAGGTTCGTTTTCTCGGTGATTGGGTAAAACAACCAATCATTGTTTTCACTTTGCGATGCATTTGGAAGTTCTTTTTCAAAAAATACAACATCTCTAGCCTCCACAATTTTCTGTTTTCTTATGTGATAGAGCCGGTAGCCTTTCGAACCATTTGCATAGCCCACATGAATGCATTCTTCTGACTTCGGGTCCAATTTTCTGCGTTGTTGTTTAGGCACGTGAACAAATGCCCTACAACCAAACACTTTTAAATAGGATAGATCAGGTTTCTTACCTGTGTAAGCTTCATTTGGTGTGACATCTTTCAATGTTCTTGTCGGTGCTCTGTTGATCAAGTGGACAGCTGTATTTACGGCTTCTGCCCAAAACCTTTTCTTCAAATTGGCACCAATTAACACATTGGCTGCCGTGAGAAGCGTAATGTGATGCATAGAGATTTGGCCATAACAGCCGCGAGTATCAAGAAATGATTCTCAGACACTACACGTTGTAGTGGCCGGCTAAAGCAACTAACGCTTCTCACATCAATGTAATACTTATGGAGCCTAAAATGTACGGCTGTAACTAATAGAAACCATAATTGGCCTGCGCCTGTGTGAATCATAGGTTGATTCTCAGAGCCTCAAATTTCTTGTTGACAATTTTCGAAAAGACAATGAAGCTATCGATGTAATATAATATATATTTATTCAAACACAGCATTCAATAAAATATAAACAAAAACATAATGTAAAATAAAATATTATTTGTATTGAAACATAACATTTTTTGTGAACGATAGGAAAATATGTGTATCTCAAAATATGTAAACATATAAATCAACAAAATATAAACAGTTATTTTGTACATTTATGAACTTCAAAGAAACAATTCAAACAGTAATTTTTACTACATGTTATACAGCGATATCTCGATTGAGGAGTTTTTGACTGGGCAAGTTTTCTGTCAGTTTTTGAAAGTTTTTCATAACACACAACACACCTACGGCGACTCTTGGTTCCTACATCTTCTAACACATGCTCGGCTTGTTGATGGTGCGTTGTGTCATGACGAATGTCTATTTTAGTTAGTTTCAGAGCAAGTTCTTCTTTGAATTTCGTGATCGACATTTTTTCATTAGCTACCTCTTGATGTAGAATGTGAGCATTTACCACCGCAGCACCCACAATCAGTTCAACAGCAAGTTTGCGATACCATTTTACACCCCTTCGTAGCGAAGTGGTGTAAGACTTCATTTGATCTGACAAGTCTATGTAAGATTTGTGCTTGTTGTAAACAGTTACAACTATTGGTTTTTGACTGTCTTTACCGAAGTGGCTGACTGTTTTCATTTCAGCGGTATGTTTTGTGCTCAAAGTACAAACATCTCGCTTGTCTTTCCATTTTTGAATCACTATACCTGTGTTACTTTCGGCGGCAATTGTGTCACCTTTTTGTAATTTCTTTTCCGTTATATGTTTGGGATTAAATTTCCTATTAGTTCTCAGCGTTCCAACTAAATGTGTGTTTCTCTTCAACAACTGATGCGCTAAGGAAATGCTGGTGTAATAATTATCGGTGTAAATTGTACGCCCCTTATCTAACAGATTGTCAGACAAAGAAAGAACGACTTTTTCTGAAGAAGACTGATTGGGTACTTTATCCTTTCCACAATATACTTGCAAATTATATGTGTATCCTTTTTCAAGACACAGTTTATAAAGCTTGATGCCAAATTTATGTCTTTTGTTGCTTATATATTGGCGAAAACTCAAACGCCCCCGAAATGGCACTAAAGTTTCGTCTATACATACATGCTCTTTCGGAATAACAACGTTTTGAAAATTTTTGATCAGCAGATTTGTCAGAGGAGTGATTTTCTGCAATCTATCTTCCGTCAGTATTTCGTTGTTGTGGAAATGCCACGACTTGAGAAGCAGCTGGAAACGATTTCGAGACATGATGTCTTTTATTTTGTTGGTGTAAACGACACATTTGGACCAATACGCCTCGATTGAAGAAAATGGACACAAACCCATCCAAACGAGAGTTCCAATAAAACTTTCCATTTCCTCACAACCTGTTGGTCTCTATCACCATCATGCTTATCAGTTCGTCAGTTAGAAACAGCTTGAAAAACTCGTAGGGACCTTTGTCGTAATATTCAGCATGTATTTCTTCTTTGACTCCAACATTTATTTCTGTGAAAGGAAACAATTTCAAATTTCGTCCGCTCACATCCTCCCACGTTAGTTCGTTAGTATTGTCACAGTGTTCATTTGCATTATCTTCGTCACTACCTTCTTCCATACATCTTTCAATCACATCGTTTATTGTGTCCAAAATACTGTCGGGTGTATCCCTGGATGTAGAAGGAATTGGCTCCTTTACAAACTTTAATTTTTTGGAAATTGGTTCATCATTAGAAGAATCATCAGAGCTTTCTGGGACAAATTCATCACCTGAATCTTCAAACGGTTCATTATCGTCTTCGTCTGAGAGACATTCCTGCCAAAGGCGATTCAGTTCCTCTTGTTCTTTTTCGTAATTCATTTTGTACAACACCAACAATTGAGATATAGTAAAAACTATGCAGGGGACGCAAACCGAATAAACCAACACTACCGTTGGACGCACAAGAATGAACAAGATTACTGCAGAGCGTTGCATTTCTGCAAGAATAAACAAGTTTTCATGTGCATCGGCTTATGATTCACATGGCCATTAGTGCAAATATGAACTATATGGGCCGCGTGAATCATATAATGCTTCTCACCTCAAAACAAAAGAAAAATTGTTTTTTTTATGAAAATATACTTTTATTTCAAGTCAAGGGATATATTGCTGGCGTATTTTAACATAGAAAACTTTCGGCCAGCAGGATCGAAATTTGTGTGACTATTACGGCAGTCAACGTGTTAATAAGCAACGCGTTTTTTCTATGATGGTGCGGTTCATCCGCTCTGCAACTCCATTTTGTTCGGGCGTATGTGGAATCGTTGTTTGGTGACAAATACCAGACAATTTCAGCAGCTTGAGCAACCTGTTGTTGACATATTCAGTTCCATTGTCAGTCCTCAGAGTCTTGACCCTATTTCCCGTCTGATTTTCTACCATATTCTTGAATTCTTGGAAAACATCGTGTACTTCTGATTTGTTTCTTAGGAAGTAAACAAATACTTTGTGGGTGAAGTCGTCCACAAAAGTGAGAAAGTATTTTGATCCTCCCAATGAATTTTCCTCCATAGGACCACATAGGTCTGAATGGATTAGTTCCAAGGGTCGGCTTGAGTTCTTGACATGTGGCTTAAATGGTAGACGGTGTTGTTTGCCCTGCACACATACCTCGCAAGGTTCACTCAGCGAATTTTTGAAATTCGTTCCCGTAACGACCCCGTTTTTTATTCGGTTCATGTTGTCCGTTGACGGATGGCCTAGTCTACTATGCCATAGATGTATATTGTCAGCAACCGATACTGAGGTAGCACCGTGCACCTTACTTTTCGGTCGATCCAGTTTGTACATGCCATTCTTCAGTGTGGCACTGGCGATGAGGGCGTTGCTTTTGTCGTATATACTACATTTACTGCTCTCAAAGTAGACCTTGTGCCCCTTATTGGTTATTTTGCTTACAGACAGCAAGTTTGTTGTCAAATCTGGCACAAACATAACCTCTTTTACGTTTATTTTGTCAGGTGTACCACCTGTACAAACGTCCAAATTTACCTCCCCCACTGCATCGACATTTAGACGATTTTTATTGGCTACTATAATTTCCTGCGTGGATGAAGGAGGCTTGCTTACGGATGTCAGCCATGTTTTGTCGTTCGTTAGATGGACCGATCCGCCGGAGTCGATATACCATTCATTTTTTTCAACATGATCGTTTCCGGTTGACAAGACTGTTAAGAAGGATTTCGCTTCCTTCGTGTTGGAAGATTTGCCATTTTCTCTCTGCAGGCGAGCCTTTCGTTTAAAACAATTCTTCCCGAGATGACCAATTTTATTACATTCAAAACACCGTGGCCCATTTTTAGTATAGTTCTTCTTTTCGGCGTGGTTTCCGAAGAACGCTACTCCATTTTTGTTTGAACTGCTTGTATCGACCTTGACCTCTTGTAATAGTTTCACCTTGATGGAGTCACTGGTAATGCCGATACCGGAGCTTTCTAGTCCCATTATCATTGGGCGATAATGGTCTGGCAATCCAGCAAGTAATAACGTCCCGAGCCATTCATCACTTACAACAAAACCAATATTCGTCAATTTATGTCCTGTTGAAATAATCTTGTTAACGTACTCTTCTACGGAATCACAATTTTCCAACTGAGTTGTGATTAAGGTACGTAACAGGCCAACTCTTCGCGTAAGTCCTTTATCGTCGAAGGCCTTGATTAAATTTTCCCATGCCTCTTTCGCTGTCTTCGCATTTTGCACGTGGACATAGTTTATTGGGTGTATCGACAGGATTATTTTGGCCTTAGCCTTTGCAACTTGTTTTGCCGTAGTGTTCGTACCCTCAACACATTCCCACAACTCTTCATGCTCCAAATATGTTTGCATTGCGAATTTCCATGAGTTGAAGTTTTCGCGCCCTAGTAGTTTTTCGATCGGTGGTAGCGTGGACGCTGCCATTTTGTTGCCGGAACACAAAAGTTTTTATCACTGAGATATATCGGATTCACCTTATTTTTACACGCGGCCAAACAATCAGCAGTACCCTGGGCCCATAACCTGTAGCAAGGTTTTGCTTTATCCAGTGGAATTGATTGTTTGGAAATTATAGGTGAATAAAACTGAACGAAACGATTGAAATGTGTATTGCAACTTCGTGGTACATCAACTGAACTTACAGTGTCAAGTGCGCACATGCGCAAGCTTATGTCGGTAATACAGTTAGCAAAAGGGTAGTTTTCTATAATATCAACATGCAATGTATTGCATACAAGTTTTTTTGATACGAGTGATTCTGAAGATTCTTAAAATCAAAGGAATTATACGAATCTGATGAATCACCAAGAAGATAGAATAAATTTGATTCCTTGATTATATTAATGATTTTCTACGTTTTTTAAAAATTGTGATAACATAATGTCATTTTTAACACTAGTGGTAAAATGGAGGGCGTTTGACAACCCAAATTGTAAAAAATAAATTATAAATGTGGGCAATATCAAAGAAAGCAAGATTGTCGCGGAGTATGACAGACTGTTAACAAACACACCAACAATTCAAAAAGTTTTAAATCTTTTATACGGAGCAGAAAAAATTAAACAGGTATACCCTTAGGTATAGAGGTAGCAAAGAATATTAATCAAGTAAGGTAAGTATGGCTATAGCGTAATTTTGTCATTGAATATCTCAAACTGTGTTCATTGGTAAAGTGTATTGAGAATTATGAGTATTGTCTGAAATAAAAATAAACTCCACAAATGCTGTAAGCTTGGGGGCTTGTACTCTAGCAGGTGTAAAAAACTAACATTTCTTTGTTGTCATTTTTTCGAATTTCTAATTCAGATAAATTTTCTAATAAATTAAAGAATGACAAATAAAGAAAGTAAAATTGTTGCAGAGTATTACACACCATTAAAAACAAGACAGCCATCTGAACTCCAACAATTTAAAAATAGTTACAAATCTTTTACTCTTGATAAAAAGCTAAATATACCAAAAAATATCAATGAAGTAACTCAAATGAGAAATCGTAATTTTGCTATTGAATATCTCAATTCGACTATAAATAAAAAACTAACAAAGACAGAATTTTGCAAATCTAAAAATATTTCTAGAAATTCCCTAAATATGGGATTAAATTCAGTTGGAATTCAGATTGCATGTAAGACGAGAACAAATGAGAACAAACGGGAACAATCCGGAACAAAAGAGAACAAATCGGAACAATTGGGAACAAAAGAGAGAAAAAATAAAATAAAAAATAAAAAAATATTCGATAATGTAGAACATAAAGCAGGTAGTCGTAAACATATAAGTTTAGATGAAGAAGCAGATAAATTAATTAGTAAATCTTTAGAAACTTTTCAGTCATAAATGGACAAATTAGTTTCATACATTCCCAACGATGAGAAAGAAAAATGGAAAAAAGATTTAAAACCTATTATTACTGAAATAGACAGATTAGAAGATGGAGCAAAAATAGTTGGTTTCAAACAAGAAGTAGTAGATAAATATATTGCAAGAAAAACAGCTAATTTATTCCTTGAACAATTAATTATGACAGACTGTGAACTAGAATCCGCTAATAATAAAATCGATGAATTGGAATATAAATTAGACAACTACAATAATTATGATCCTAAGAAATTAGCAGAATTAAGAAACAAAACAGTAGTAATACCATCAAACATCGATGATGTAAAGAAAAGAACTCTCAAAATATTTGAAAGACATACTAAAAATATGAGAGCAATAAATGAAAAAACTCAAAAATTGTAAATTAAATGGAAAATACTGTATTCAAGAATTTAAATATATTCAATGAAGAATATCCAAAATTCAGAAAAAAGTTTTCAAGTCTTATTCAACAAGTTAATAAATTAAAAATTATTATTTTTATTCTTACGTTTATTATCGTAATTGTTATTATTGTTTTCTTAATTTTTTACTTCAACGCTAATAAAAAATAGTTCAACAGTGTCCATGAACGTACCTATGATGATACTAATACGTGTCCATAAGCTAATGTATCTGTAGAATTAGGTAAAAGGTATCTTTTATCATCTTTCCAACTTAGAGACTTTTTCTTTACTTCTTCAGTAAAAATATCATGTTTATGACTCCTAATCACTCTCTGTCTATGGAAGTATTCAGTTTGATTGAATAAGCAATTTTTGTAATCTTCAAAACTTATTTCTTTCTTCAATACTGCTTTCTTGATACCTTTTAATTTTTTTGAAACACACGTTTCAGTTCTGTAACTGTACATTTTTGACCTTAAACCTATGTATTCTAATATCTTAATACCATTCAATTCAGTGGCGGCTCGTCAGATGAGGCAAGTGAGGCGGCGCCTCACAGCATATATCTTAAGAACAGATTGACTTAATTGGTA